GCTGATGCCATGGCAGTACCGGTACATACTATGCCATTACCAGTACCAACTGAGGATTTGCAAGGTGTCCATGCTCAGAGTAGACTAGTCACAGATTTGGTTACAGATGATATCCCCTATGATTCATGGGCCAGAATTAGCGAAGCGCAGCAGTATGTTCTACCACCACCTTACACAACGACTGAGCTTGAGCAACTAAGGTCCATGAACGTAACTTTCAGGAACGTCCCGAACTATAGGGATGTCAGCTTGATGGATATGGCAGTTTGTGATACCTGTCTCCAGATGTGTAGGAATTCATTATATAACCATGAGACAGAAACCCTTTGGAAGGGGATGATATTCAGCACAATGTCAGAGATGAAACTCTTCCTTTAGGAAAGTACAGGGACACCTTGATGATGGTTGTTGCTGTTGATCCTGAGGACCAGATAGTACCCGTCGCATTTGCTTTGGTAGAGGGAGAGAACAATGAATCGTGGTCATGGTTCATGCGGCTTCTTCGTGTGCAAGTGCTTGGCCCAACTCGCACTATATGTTTGATCTCTGACCATCACGCAGGGCTTCTTAATGCTGCAGCAGAGCATATAGATGGGTTCCTGCCTCTAGTACATAGATGGTGCATGAGACACTTTGCCGCTAATTTCTGGCGGCGTCAGCGGAAGCAGGAGGTATGTGACAAGGTAAATGCTCTATGTTGTGTACGTATAGAGCACCAGTTCAAGGAGACAAAGAGAGAACTAGACAAGATGGTAAATACAGCGGGAAAGGCCTGGTTAGAGGCGCAGATGGAACAGAAGGCTCAGTGGGTGTTAGCATATGACGAGGGGGGTTTCAGGTATGGCATCATGACCACTAACTCCTCAGAGTCCTTCAACCATGTATTCACCGGAGTTCGATCGTTGCCTGTGTCTGAAATTGTTGAGTTCTCGTTTTATAAGTGCAACGAATATTTTGTGAAGAGGTGGGAGCTTGCGTAGAGGAATATAGCTGAGTAGGGGTGTTTTGGAAAGACCGGAGCTGAACATTTGAAGGAGGCCAAGGAATTGGCCAAGCAGCACACCGCCGAGCCGTATGGACCCCACCGCCGTATCTTTAATGTACGGGGCAAGGGTGGCACAAGCCTGGGCGGCGAACGTTATGGTGGACGAAACTATCGAGTTGATCTTGAAAAGGTAGAGTGCAGTTGCAACGTCCCTCAGATCATGCATGCCCCTTGCTCTCATATGATCACGGCCTGCAGGGTTCGCGGGTACAACTATAAGGATCTGCCATATATGTCACCCATTTATCTCCGTTCGAACACCGTTAGTATTTGGGAGAAGAGCTTCGAGCCATACCTTAACCCAACACAGTGGCTACCTTATAATGGTTATGACTACGTACCGCATCCGGATCTAATGAAGGTAGGGAAGGGTAGGAGGAAGAAGAAGTGACTGAAGGGGGGACATGGACGCTATGAAAGGGTACGGAGAAGACATGTATGGCGGGGGAGACTTCAACGAGACCCGTGGCAGGAATCTTTGCTCCGTTTGCAAATAATCTGGCCACAAGGCTAGCAGGCATAGAAGGCACCAGGTGATTTCATATTGTGTTTGTATTGCATAACAAATAGTTCAAATTTTGCAATGCTACATAATGTTAATCTGAAAATTGTTAATTTCAATACTCTAACCATTTGTTTATCATTTTGTAACAGGATGGCCCCTCCCACGCCGCACCAGCTGATCCCCCTTCTTGATGTGGAGTACGACGACCCCCTTCTTGTACCGGACGACGAGGTTCATTATGTCGTGGGACTTAGTTCATTGCGTCGAACTTATGTCGAACGAATATTATCGTCGAAAACTTGTAGACTTATAAACCAATGAAAATGTTGTATGGCAACTTATCGTCTATTTATTTGCTTCATGTTCGTTTTGTACAGCACTTGTAGTTTTGTACAGCACCGACAACAACTCAATTGTAGCTGGCCGTTGTCCGTCCATGCACTGACGTGCCATGTACTATGGCGCGGCACAGACGCGCCATGGGCTCTGGCGCAGCAGAACCATGCCTATGGGGCACCAGAACCTGGGCTATGGCGCGACAAATGATTACGTTCGTTTTAGAAATTATGAACGCATGATACAAACAGATGTGATCACATAAGATCGATCATGGGTAATCTGAGTACATGATACATGGGTACAATACATCAGTAGTTCAAATACATCAGTAGTTCAAATGGAATATAAGACAACACAATAGAATTTCTACTACATGGCTACATTGATCATTAATAAAACATGGAACTAACAGACGGCGCAATCAAAAACCCTCAGTCAGAAACGTACTGAGTAAGCAACTCGTCGTCCGAGTACCAATCCTCAACCACAACCCTGTTGCTGTGGCTATGCTCATCTGCGTTGCTCTGACCTGCCTGTCGCCTGTAGTAAGCGGCCTCCGCTTCATCTGCGGCCGCTGCGGCCTGAGTGAAGAACGCATCGTCATCCTCCTCCGCCTGCAAGCCGACCTCTGCTAGAGCAATTAGCTCACTAAGTCTGGTAGTGTCGTCCTCATCATCGTCCCTCTCATCAGACAACACAATCGGTGATTCAACGATGCGACCAGCTCACTTTCTATGCTCATCTAACTTCTTTTCCTCGTACCTTGCACGAGCCACCTCTGCAGCATGTTCCTCGCTGCATCCAATCTCTTCATGTATAAAATATAATCAATTAGCAACGTGATTATATTACATTTAAAATCAGATAACGAAAAAAGGCATTCAAGCACTTACTGGCACATAATGCAGCAACATGCTCATTCAAGACCTGCATCTGTACTCGTCTCCTCCCTTGCCTCCTTCCTTGTCCTCTCCTCCTCTAACATTATCCGCCTCTCCAATCCCCATTTGTTAAGCCCAACATCGATCGGGTTACAAATACCGCGCTGTCTAGCAAACTCACGCATCTTTTCTTTGTGATGTTTAACGAATAGGTTGACGTAGTCAGGTCCATATCCCCTCTTCCTTGCAATTAGTTGCCTCTTCTTCAGTTCATCCAAGAACTTAGTTTGACCATCGTAACGTTCCCACCTGCATTTCCTAGTGATATGTTCAAAATAAATATTATATCATATATGTCTGAGCAAAAGAAACAAAATACGATTTCATGTTTACAAAAAAAACGAACCTCTTCGTACTCAACCATATGGCCGTAATAATGGCCTATTCCAAGCTCTAAAGGGACTAAGTCATAGTTAGAATTAACACCACATTCGCACTTAACTGGTGGTGCTTTGTAAATTAACATTTTCTTCTTCTTTTGTTTTGCTTTTGGAGGTTCTTTGGGCCATTTGTTCTTAGGACCATACAACCACTCCTTGAAACGACACTTCGCCATTGAATACACCTAAATAACGTGATATTAGTACATGACACATATAGCTCAATATTTCAACACATACACTTTGCACTTACTTCATGCTTATTTGGACACACAAACTCCAACGTATTGTCATGGTTTATCACGGCTCGGTCTCCGCAATGACACAGAGGAGGTTCCTCGAGTCGTCTAACTGCGGCTAAGTGCTTCTGCTTAGTCGTCATTGGAAGGGGGTTAGGGGGAGGTGGAACCCACCGCTCGAAGTGCTCCCGTGGATGTCGCCTTCTCCACCAATCGTCGAAAAGGACGTACCTAGGGTCAAACTTGTCTGCACCGTCGATCCACTGAAAGAAAAAGCACCTCTCATGGTCCTATACAACAAAAAAAATATAAAAATATTATTAATCTAGGAATACAAATGAAGAAGAAAAAGAGTGAAAATAATTACTTACATTAAAATGACTACACGTGTAGAAGCAACGAGCCGCTGTGTCCGGATGTCTCGATTGAAACACGTCGGTCAGACGACCACAATCACAATTAGGGACAGGGAGTTCAGGAGGGACGGGGGCATCTTTGCTAGACTCGTCGGGGTACATTTCTCTAGGACGACTCCGTTTTCGTCATAACTGCTCTTGAAACATGTCTTTCATCTAATAAAACGGTTCAAAGTAAACATCAATCAAAATAACGCAAATTAATGTAAAATGTAATCATTTGCGATGCAACTAAAATATTATAAACAACAAATATAGCAACAAAAATATACATGTCAAACATACTTCTAACTAAATAATTAACATTAACATTGACAAAATTAAACTAACATATTCACCATAGTTCCAAACATAATTTTCCTACTAAACATAATATCCTATCCATCATTCAAACGAAAATAAAATGTGCGTCATTACCTTGGACTAGGACGAGGAGGGAGGGAGTTGGCCGGGGAATGGAAGGGAAGGGAGGGAGGTGGCAATGGAGGGCCGGGCTGCCGCCGTTCGTGGCGCGGCCGCCGGCGTGCTTGGCGACGGGCGGGAGCGGGAGCGACGCCTAGGCCACTTTGCTGCTCGGGCAGCGGGACTGGCCGCGGCGAAGGATATACCCGGCTCTGCCGCGCCCTGGTCGCCGCCACGTCAGCTCCGTGCCGCGCCACCATGCATGGCGCGGCACAGGCATTTGGCCGCGCCAGGGAAATAGGCACGGTCAAAAGTGTTAGTTTTAAAAAAAACTCGTTAAAATTAGTTTCGAAAAAGTGTTAAAATTAAAAAAAAATCACTGCATCAGGTTTTCTGTACCTGATAATTCAAATTATTGACCGAGGTCAATACACAAGGATTTTCAGAACATACACAGTTTCAAGGAATTGATAAGGGAGCCGTACATTGCACCTGAAGCAAACCACAATCTTTATGGTTGGTTCTGCAAGAGAAATTATATAAGCAATTCCAAAGGATCAACTCATTACCATTATGCACTGGATATCACCTCCATGATACATTGCAGCATTAGAGAAATAGATTGGGTAACAATCACTGATTTGGTCATTGCAAATCATCCCTAACTACAGTTTTAAGATAAAAAAACTGTATATGCCAAAAGGAAAAGTAGAAGGCACCAAAAACAACCTACCGTTGTGAAGGTTGTGTGTTTAACAACATTGAACAAGCTACAGATGGTAGTCTATGAGAAAATTGGCATTGAAGTCGCATCCCCCTCACACACATTTGATTGGTTATCTGCAGACCAACCTGCATATTCAAACTGTAATTCTCAAGAGAAGAACTAAATTAGGAAAAGTAATACTAAGAGATGAAAAGTGAGATGACGCAATGCTAAATTATCCCTTCATCATTTAGTAATCTTCTCAAAAAAAATTGCCAAACACAATTAGTTTGCAACAACATTTCCCAGTCTGATGTCGGAACATGTTTTAGACTTGTATAAGCCTTTCACTAGAGCTGAATACCAAATTTTCTGAAAGTCAGAACTCAGTTATAGTCCTCCTTGAGTTACTGTACACACGATCCCACGAGCAAAATAATCACTGAAGAATGAAGACTGAACCCTAATTTTCTTCCCAAGTCCGAGAAGAAACAGGCAACAAAGTGCCCAGCCCAAAACTAGAACTTAGCTGCGGAGCAGACCAAGATATGCCCAAAAATATCTTAGCCTAATCTGAACCATTCTAGCATAATAACTGCCCAGAAAGTGTTACTGCAACCGAGATTATCCTTGCAACCACGCAGAGAAGCATCCGACTGCGGGAATCGCTTACCTTGAGATTGGGGCTGACGAGGGCCATGACCGCAGTTCTAGCAAGGGAGCTCCCGACGGGGACAGGAGTGGATAACTCCATTGCTCCGCCTCCTCGGAGGTCGCAGGCTAGCAGCAGCAGCTGAAACCGCAACTCCCAGCTCCCCCGGTCCCCACTCCCAGCTCTGAAGGGATCGGACGGTTAACTTGAGGTTGTTTCGCACCTTGATCCATCCTAGCCGTTGGTTTCCATATAGGACGGGAAATGGCTCCGTGAGCGGCTTCAGTTCTTTCGCTGCGGAGATGGCGGCGGGGGCGGGGGCGGGGCCGTACGAGGAGATGCTGCAAGTGGTGGAGGCGTGCGCGGCCCGGATCCGGTGGCGCCTCCGCCCAGCTTCCAAGCGCCGCCTCCTCAACGGTCAGCGGCCACTCGCTTGCTCTTAGTAGTTGTAGCTGTTATTATCTCCTCATCTGTATTTAGGATTTGCTGTTGACAATAGTCCTTTTCTTGCTTAATCTACCGCCATGCTGTCTTTCTGGTCTGCTGCTAAAACACTTATTTTTTGGTGGTTGTTGAATGAATTGTTAGCCAAACCCAATTGCAGAAGGCAATTTATCCACTAAATTCATAAGTTTGTACCACCGTAGTTATAAGTCACTTGGTCAGTAGTTGCAACTAGGGTTTAATGAAAATTTAGTGGCTGTAAAGCTAAAGGGTATGATTTGAGGAAAGTGAATGGTGTCATGCCGAATTACATTACAAGTAAATTGATGAACAAACCCGGTTGTTGCCAGATATCCTGTTTCTCTGCACCGGGTTGCGGCCTGTGGTTCTGGTTGACTATGGTGGCACAATGCCTCAGCTACAAGAAGATCTCTGTAGCCTGCTGCATCATGCCCAGCAGGTAATTTCACGACTTCGATGTATTATTAAGTATTTGAATTCTGTGTACTAGTTCAACTCAGAATCACGGATTGCATATGAATCATTTTTCTCCACTGCTAATTGTTATCTGACTGACAAAAAACTGTCACTGGAAATAATCTTGCTATCTGTACTGTTCCTTGCTTTCAAGCGCATCGCAATGGGGCGGTTCCAGTCACTGTTGAAATTTCACGCACATGAGCACTGTATGCGCCTTTCCCCTTGACTCACCCGGCAAACCCCTGCCCTATGGAAGGATCCTTGTGCGGTTGTGGCAAAAGACATAAGTTTTTTGGATCTTGATAGTGACTAGAAGGTTGTAATTTGTATATTGCTCTGCCATCCAACAGTTACATTTACAACAGATGTCTTGAATAATAATGCCATTTTATTTCTTTTGCTTAAACAGTCCTCATATTTTACTTCGTTTTTATTATGTTGTGCTTAAACAGACCTGTGACCCGTTCAGTTTCCAACTGTTTTCATGACCAATCTACTATCTTTACCTTTACTAGAGGTTATTTGGATGTCATCTATATATCCATCTGCTTGACTTGCAGGAAACAAGCATATTGAATCCACTCCGGGTGATGATTATTGGAGATATGCTTTACTTAATCCATGTTAAAGGACTTGCTGAACATGCATTACCAAACACAAGGTCGCAGCAACGGCTAGCTTTCGTGGACCTAGAGAAAAGATGTTGCAGTGTATTTACCCTCCAAGACCATACTTTTGTATTTTTGTCTACAGTAAAGTGAATATGTCGTGTTTGTTATTACTGAAAAGTTGTTTGTATGCAGCTGCTTACAACCATAGAAGACAATGACACTGTGCTGGAGCTTGTATCTATACAAGATCAATTCGCAGCCAAATTTCCTGTAGATCTGTCTGTTGTTGGACCTGAAATAACAAAGCAAATGTCAGGAATTCCACAGAGTACTGTTGATGCAGAGTGCACCGACAATCACGTTGAGGACAGGACCTTATTGGTTGTTGATCTGAGTACCTTCCTTGAGAACACGCAAATTGCCTTGCCTTCTCTGAATGGGTAATTTCTGGTTCTGTGTGTCATCAAAACTGTAACCATGGGATTCTTGGTCCAATGAAACCATTGTTTGAACACTTGGAAGAAAAAACATTTGCGTGGCATCTGTATAAAAAATGGCAAATTTATTCGTTGATAGTACTAGTAACATGTGACAGAAGTGTGGTGCATATTGCCATTGTTATGGATGCTACCTTGGTTAAGTTTTGACATTTGATTTGCTCTCTGAATGACATGTTAATGTTTCAATATCTGCAGGTGGCTTTTAGGTTATCCAGTAACATATTTGTTCCGCAATGCAAGTTTTGAGGCGGGCATACAGAATATCTCAAGGCACTCTCTGCATATCTACCGAGTATATGTGTGCAGAAGTTATCGGTCAGTTGGCAAACAATCAGAAGGGGAACTGATGAGGTAAAGTGCATCGTAAGCAGCCGCACTCGGCAGGTCCTCTCTTTTCCTTTTTTTTTCTCTCTCTTTAGGAGTGGAATTTTATTTGGGATCTTATAACTAGCTGTAGTATGGTTGCCAGTTTTTCAGTTCCTTGTGGCTCGAGCACGAAGCGTGATGAAGAAGTATGGGCCAAATCGTTTATAGCTCGCATGAATGAGAAGCTCAGGCGATGCAACCAAGTCTGGGCATCCATAAGGCTAGAGGTCGAGGTTTTCCAGAGCCAGTCGCAGGTAATCGTGTTGTAGTTGAGGTCAGTATGCCTTTTACGGGCTGACGGCATGAACTCCTTTTATACAACGGACCAGCAACGTATCTCAGAAGTATCGCTTCCCTGGGCCATGACCATGAGCACAAATTGCTGCAGCTATCGGGTACAGAAATAAACGAATATATAGGATACATGCAGGTCAAAGGTCATTGTAATGGACGTGGAATCACGCCCAGCATCTTGCCGGAGACTTGGAAGCAAGAGACTGAAGAAGCCCAATACTCGAGTCACCGGCCCAGAATGGAGTAAGTAGTTAGAGCCTAGCTGCGTCATGAGACTGCTGTACGCAACAGCTGTAATTTCTATATAGAGAGGGAGATGAACAAACTCAGACTTGTCTTGGTTGTTGCCGGATGCCGGTAGTTGGCGGCGGGCTGCGGCTCGAGTTGGCCGGCGGCGACCATTACCATCGTTGCTGTAAACACTACTCAGATATTCCAGTTCTAAATACAGTCCTAGATCCAGTATTGTAATATTGGTATCGGTTAGCCTAGATCCTGGCGCAGCCTCCAAGTCACCATGAAGGTTGAGGAGCAATTCGCTCTCATCCTCACCAAGCTGGATGAGCAATCCAAGGAGACCTCGGAAGGGAATCGTCGGATCAACGAGGTCCATGCTTCTGTTGAGGATCTCAAGCTGGCGAAGGATGATTTCGAGCGTTGGCAGCCGAAGGTGACTTTTGCTGGCAGCGGTTAGGGATGACAATACTACCTGCAGCTATTGTACTCGACAGGGTTAGGATGGGTACAAACTACTACTTCTGTCCATAAAAGAATGCAATTCTCGTATTTCGATGAATCAAACGGTCTAAACTTTGACTAAAATTATATAAAAATATACTCATACTCATGAATCAAAATAAGTACCATTAGATTAGTTATAAAATATATTTTCATAATAAATTTATTTGGAGACACAGATGCTACTAGAATTTACTATAAACTTGATCAAATTTTAACTAATTTGATCGGCATGTTTCCCATAATTGCATTCTTTTGAGAACGGATGGAGCACAAAATTCTATCGGTAATGCTTGGTTTAGGACGTCTGTCCATCTAGACGGACCAACCCCATGTGCGCAACAACCAAGAAAAAAAGCGGTGCGCACAGTTGCAGTTAGGCGGGGCCCACACCGGTCCTTTCTAGGTGCAGCGCATGGGAGCGTGTGCGGCCACTCGTTCGGCGGGGGATGCATGCGGCGTGGGGCAGCACATGGAAGCTCGTGCGGCCACTCGTCCAGCGTGGGGCGCGGGGCAGCCCATGGGAGCACATGCTCGGCGTGGGGTGCATGCGACGCGTGGGGGCCTGTGCATGCGCTATGACTAGAGAGAAGTACCGACAGAGAGAAGGAGCACGGGGCCCGCATACTCCATGCCACTGAGCTTCGTATTTTTCGTGCGTTTAGATGTATGTTTCATTTGGATGTTGCATGTGTTTTATCCGGATGTTGCATGTGTTTTATCTGTATGTTGCAATGGCTATACACGTATGTTGCAAATGTATGCTTCATCCATTTTAGACGTATGTTGCAAGTGTTTTATTTGGATGTTGTATATGTTTCCGTGGCTATATACATATGTTGCAAGCGTTTATTCAAAATGTTTCATCTGTTTCAGACGTATGTTGCAAATGTTTTATCTGGATACTGCATATGTTGCAAATATTTCACCTGTTTCAGACGTGTGTTGTAGAAGTGATTTATGTTGCAACATTAGCAGGCGCAGGAAGCGGACGCATGCGGAGACGGACCCCATGGGCACAACAGTCCCCACGTGCGCAGCAAGCGAAGCGGGCATGGGTGGTCCCACCTGCATGCGCATCAGGAGGCACGAGGCGCACAACTGCATGCGCAGGCACACCAGCATGCGGGGGTGGGTGTGCAGGCGTAGCAGTTACATATGGGGAAGACGTGCGGGCGGGGCAGGCGGAGCAGGCTTAGCAGCATGTGTGACGAGACGGGCGTAGCAAGCGGGGCGGGCGCCGAAATTCCATCGGAGGGTGCGATTATAACCACTGCTACAGATGCAGGTGTGTTGTTTCACATATTGGTAGGGTTGGGTGTTTGGTCTGACCGAAGAATTCGGTTCAGTCTTTTTAAGGTTTTGGTTATCTAAAATTTAGACCGGAATTCATTGCAAAATATTGAAGGTCGAGCAATTTCCATCATTTTAGTTCAGTCTTCGGTCTAGACCGAACTAACCAAATAGTTTCAACAAGATATGTTTTTGCAGTAAATTTTGACATTGGTTTTTTCTATTTTTAAAGCATGTTTTGACAGTACAGTATTACATGATATTTGCAAATAATATATAACACCAATACCAGTGTAGTTGCTGCAACTTAGCATAAATGTTCAATTGTTGAAAGTTCAAACATACCGCCTCCATCTAAAAAAGACCGTTGTTTTATAAATGAATTTGAACAAGCACTTGTCCAGATTCGTTTCTAAAACAACAGTCTTTCAGGGACGGAGGGAGTAATGACTAACAGATTTTCAAATAACAAATTTCAATTAGTTTCAAGGTCTAAGACCAAATTATCCGAAATAGATTTGGTTAGTTAGAAACGATGACTGAAGTATTAGGTTTCGCTCTCAGTTAGTCAGCTCGGCTCTTTAGTTTCGATTAGATACATTCCTGCGCGTTGTACCAAAACCATGATTTTTTTTTTACTAAACCTCACGTGGCACGTGGATTCATATACATAGGGTCATTATTATTTAACTTCGTAGATCGGGCTTGTTAAGTCTCAGAATGGTGTGCAACAATTCTAATCTAATTTTCTATATAGGTTCCTTGTAGCACTCTAGTCTCTTGAATAATATATCACCTTCATAGTGATTTCCAATTTTTTAGACGCAACTTTATGATGTGTCTTTTGGTTTGTACAATATTTCAGTCTCCAAATCGGTGTATAGTAACACCATCTGTTATAACGTTCACGAGGTAACGTCTATAATATTATATAGTAACACAAGGTAACATCCACAATTTGTATTTTGTTCATACGTTGGGGACTTGCGGTACTCGGCGTCCGGCAGGGGGAGTTGAACACTTACACGACGCGCTACTCGGTCGTAGATATTATGCACCCGTTAGATAGAGCTTCCACTGTGGCCAAAACAACTCCAGCTGTGACTTTTATAATAGAGTAGATTCTTCGACGAAGTTGAAGCTGTTTTGAAAAAACGTTCGGTAAAATAACTTTGTCCGACTGTTAAAAAGAATGAATTGTCTATAAAGCCTTTTTTTCTTTTTTTCTTTTTTTCTTTCTTTTTCTTTTTCTGTATTCCTCTTTTTTCCCTTTCTTTCTTATTTTCTTTTCTTATTCTCTCTCCCTTATCCTATCTCCCAAGTGCTGTCGCGGGACGCTTCTTTGGCATCTCCCAACCGCACGGGACGCGGACACAGGATCATCCTTTGCCCGTACCGCAACAGACTCCACTCCATCCCCGTGCTGGCCTCTGCCCTTGCCCGCGCCGGCCTCCTCCACGCGCTCATGCCTCCATCCGCGGCTAGTCAAGCGCCATCGTCGCCTGGGTTTGCGTCGGGATGCAGGGAGGGTGGCGGTAGATTATACTGAACCCCTTAGTTATATTAGATAGCTGGTGGAGATCGATGACCAGACTCAAAGTCGATCTGGTGAGTCAGGCATTTAGAGTCGAAGTCGATTTAGTTTTCCGTAATCGTGTGGAAATCAATGGCATTTTTTCGTATTTTTTCGTATTCTGTTTATCGGGGAGGATGATGGTTTTGTCGATATGGACGATTCCTCTAGAGGCTTATTAGGTGTAGAGAATAGTTACATTCATCCTTACCCATTAGTGCTTCAAATATAAGGGATCCCATTTATTCGATTGACAATCCAACTCGCAGGTACGGATGCAAAATGTTATACAGAGATACGTGTATATATGAGTATAAAATTTTACATTTATCATGGTAGCTATTTTATATAATATAAGTATGGCCTAATACATCCACTTTTGGATGTATAAAACTGAAAATATTTCCATTTTTGAGAAATTCCATTACTTTTTTTGTTGAGCAACACCGCCCTCTTTATTTAGCCAGGAGGATTGTACATATTACAAACACTGTAAGGTGGATTCAAGAACCAAACATACGGCCTAACTCGGCATGGATCAAGCTACGAGCTATCCTATGAGCATCGGTATTTGAGTATCTATGTTCATGTACAAACTCGACACTTCTAAGAGCTGTCTTCCTCGCATTGATCTCCTGGATAACCTGTCCATAGATTACGAGCTTGCCTTGTTGGATACTCTTCACGATATTCAGACAGTCACTGGATAACCTGAAATTGTCAGCTCGTAGGTCTGAAGCGAGAGCCATCCCTTCTCTGCATGCAATGGATTGCTTCACCTCCAGGTCGACAATTCCTCGAAGGACCAGCGCCGAGGCTCTCATAAATCGACCATCCTCATCTCTAGCTATTACTGCCGCCGAAGCCGTACGCCCTGTTCGCTTGGGCTTGTTTGGCTTATAAACCGTACTTTTTCAGCCAACGAACAATATTTTTCTCTCACACCAAATCAGCCAACAGTACTTTTAGCCATGGCTTATCAGCCAAACAAGCCCAAACGAACAGGGCGGTAGATGTGTTCTTGGATAAAGCCACGTCGACATTGATTTTTTTAAAGGCAAATCACATATTCATTAAACACAACATTTAGGCAAATCGCTTGCAACAAGTTCACTTACAAACTCAGGGCTTTGGCTAGTTAACAACTCAGTATCAGATGACAACATACAGACTCCATAAGTAGCCAAAGCATCAGCCATCTTATTACAACACCTGCTACAATTTGAGATAACACATGATGAAAATTCAAATCGCATTATTTGTTGGCCTTGTCATATGAGGCCTCCAACACAACTTCGATCAATTCCATTCGCATTAAGAGCAGAGGCCAACACAGAAGCGTCCGTCTCTAGGATGATGTGCGGCATGCCCCATTGTGAAGCAAAAAAGCAAACCTTTGTATGCCGCCATTGCCTCAATGTGTAGAGCTGAAGCTGCATAGTTGATCTTTCCAGCCCCTGCAGCAAGCAACTCACCATGATTATTGTGCACAACAAAGCCCCAACCTCATGTTCTTGTTTTTGGATCAATAGCTCCGTCAATATTAACTTTATATATGTCCTCAGGTGGTGGCTTCCAATTATCTTTGGTAGCTTGAATTGATTCTTCTCGAACACGCTTAGTTTTTCAAACTCCATTTGAAAGTAATTGACAGAATTACGAATTTCATCTGCATTCAGCATCCCTCCCTCGTCATTAGCCTTGTTCCTCGCTAACCACCACCTCCAAAGGAAAATTATAACCTTCAATTGAGTATCTTTTTCTAGCTTCCAAATAATATTGCAGGTTTCCCATGCCAAAACACAATTCAACAATTGAATCCTGATGTGTTCCATATTCATTAGACGCCAGCATAGTTTAGCATACTTACACAAGAGATGACCGCTATCCTCATCAAGCCTTGTACAGATGGGACACCTTGTGTCAATGACAACTCCGTGCCTTGCTAAATTTCTTCATACTGGTAAACTGTTATGAGCAAAACGCCACATAAATATTTTGACTTTGTTAGGTACGTTGAGTTTCCATATTCTGTACCATTTGAAATCACTGTCATCCCTAACGGTCGCTGAAGTAGAAGCATCCCAACC